AGGAAAGGGAGAAAGAAAGATAAAGGAAAAGAAAAACAAAAGGGAAGAGGGACAGTGAGAGAGGGCACTTAAAAAGAGAAAGAAGAGAAAAAAAAAAGAAAAAAAAATCTCCTGGATCACCTGTTGAGAGAAAAAGAAGAGAAAACAAGCAAAAAACAACAACAACAGAGCAACATACTAAACACAACACCATCACATTAATCTAGCTAAGTGTAAACAGCAGTAAATACGAAATGTTGAATGTTATTGTGTAGCAAGCAGGACCGACAGCGCACATTGTGCTTGGAAATAGCAGCCAATAAAGGTGTAGTTTATGTCTATGAACAGTGGACACCCGTGTGCACCTATTACAAGGTCTCCCCATGTAATAGCCCTGTCCCCCAAGGCATGAAGCAGGCATGGAGGAGATCCAGGCCCCAGACATCCAGAGGCCCCAGAGTGCGAGAGCCCAAGGAGGACCACCGGAGGGGCAGCTAAACATTTTCTAACCCCATATCGTCTACCACTGATAGTGGTCTACAGTCCAGAGCAATCCATTTTGTGAGAGAATTTGTAAGATGGTCCGATGTTGACTTACTAATTTTGGTCCTGAAGTCAGTCATTTCATCAAGTTTGCTTTGCATCAAGATTGCTGCAACATGTTTTGCATTTAGATGGTACCGTAAGGTGCTACAGTGCTCAAAACTACGCTTTTATCAAGACTTCCGTCGGGCAGTCTCTTGAAATTAAATTTGCCTCTGATCAGAATCTTGTGATCTTGTGATTCTTCTATTTTAGTAGCTGTGTTCATCAGTGTAATCGGTATACCATGAAATCATGCATTAACAAATGTTCCCCTTTGCTTCGAATGCAAAGTGTGATTAAATGTGTTAAAAAAAATTTACGCATTTTCAAATAAATTAAGTGCAATTAACGCATTATATGTCCACCCCTACACACCAAAAAAATTCCAATTGGTGGTTTGACTCCTCACCAGAGTGGGTAAGAGAACAGGGCACTGTTGAAATGTTACTATGCAAGTAACCCGAGAGGAAGGGGTTGCTAGAGATCGACAAGGTAATACCACACAACTGCTACGGCAAGGGGCAGCCAGGTCATGAGGGAGATATCATCACCCCCTAAGTATGGTGGAAGAAGGAATGTTGAGTGCAAGAGCAGCCTCTGTTGCCGGTTACCAAGACTACGTGAGGTACCCTCTGAAGGTCTAAGATGTGAATGCAGCACTACGTACAATCCCTACTCTGACCATCATTGAAACCAACCCTCTGATCTACACCACAGCAGCAGCAATCAGATGCTTGACTACAAGATGAGTATGAACAGTATTAACAGTACTAACCCTAACCCATCCACAGGGGTGAGAGGGGAATTATACAATGTTACAGCCCCTGGCCTTAAAGAAGAAGTGAGGCAGACCAATTAGCAACTGATTGGTCACACCTGCACCTTTAAAAGGCTGAGGAACAGTGTGCAGTTGCCCACTGTTGCTTTTGTCTTTGAGTTTTCTTTGTGGAAGCCTGACTCAATTGTGAGATTTACTTATATAATGTTAGTTTTACTGAAGCCTGAAAGGTTAATTTTGATTTCTACTGTTTGAAACCTGAAGTGAAAGCCGTTTGGGTTTTGCTCCTCCCCTGTGTTTTGTTTTATTTGTTTTTCTGTTAGTCAGTTTAGTTAGAAAGTCTTTCTA